GGTGACCGGGAGGAGAACGGGGACAGGAGGGTGACCGGGAGGAGAACGGGGACAGGGAGGAGTCCGGGTCCGGGATCTGGCACCGCCATCGACGTGCTCGGCGCTCGCTCCCTTCTCCCTGTCTCGGCGCTCGCCAGTCGCGCCTGGGCAAGATGGCGGCGCCCATGGCGGCGTGTCGGTGAAGGCGGGCCATGCTGGCGCTGCTGGGCCGCGGCCTGGCGGGGCCGGCCCGCGCTGGGGCTGCTGTGCTGGGCAGGACAGAGGCCGGTGAGGGGCGCGGGGGGCTCGGGAGGCCGCTGGGAGGGAGAGAAGGTGGAAAGGGGAACGGGCCCTGCTGAAGGAATTGGGGAGCGGGCGGGACCGGGGCCCGGTGGGAGCTGAGGGTGCGGGGAACGGGGCGGTGTCGGGGTCGGGGGTGGCCAGGGGCTACTCATGGGGGCACACACCGGCCCCATGGTCTGTCCCCTTGAAACGAGACACGGGTGACCTTGGGGGTACCCTGGGTGCGGCTGGGGAAGGGGACGCGGGCAGATCCAGGGGTTCCCTTGGAACACCGGGGGTGAGCCGGGCTGGCCGGGCCGGGCACAGGCAATAGCCTGGAACAGGTCTTGATTCTGCCTGAAAGAGCAGCTGGAAGTGTTTGTTCTTGCAAGGTCAAAGAATGACGAAGTCCGGGCTGATGATGATGATGATTCACGTCTGTACAGAGCTGTGTCAGACAAAGATTGTCCCCAGGCTGTCCCCAGGTGTCACTGCCCCACCGCTGTGACATTGGGGTGGTCCAGAGCAGCCCCGCTCATGAGGTGGAGTTGATTTATCAGTTAATTCAGCAATTTAAACCCTCTAAATGAACACGTTTGCAGCRGGGAGCCCTCACACTGCTCGGTGTGTGCAGTCTGTTCTGCTGCTCCGGCCTCAGCGTTTGCTCATTCTCAGTTTGCTTTGTTTTAGCACAAAAAATGTGGGAGAACCACATTGAACCTTCCCACACTCTCTGGTGATGCCTAAAACAAGGCTCACCTGAAACAGAGGCCAGACAAAGTTAAGAGGATAAAAGCAGACAAATTTTAATACTACAGGTACATTCAGGGCAGACAAAGCCTCCTCCTGAGGCTGCACCCAAAATGGACCCCGAGTCACGAGATCTTCACCTTTTATCAGTTCTGTCTCATGAACACATCGGGCCCCAATTCTCCAATGACACCTTCAGGTGATGATGGCACCCACCCCAAGCTGCTCCCCCCCAGTTCTCTGTTGTTTCCATATTTTGGGGCTCTGAGGCAGCAAAGTGTCCTTGGATTTCAGGCTCAGAGAGGAATTGTTTTGTCTAAAGATGGGAGAACAGGAGCTTTAGTGCTGTGCWCTGGAGAAGTACAAGAATACAGATACATGAAAATATAGAAACTAAAAACACTAAGGCATCACTGGGACTAAAGATCTGTCTGGTCACTGGTCACCTTGGAGCCTCAGTGCTCTGACCTGGCACAGACTGAGCAATATTTGATGTGCACAGAGCTGGAGAAGTGCACACAAGCCTGATATCTCTTTGTTTCTCCCACACAGCCTGCAGTCCYGTTCTCCAGGCAGCCAGGGGTTATGCCAGACCTGCAGCAAGGAAGAAGAAAGGTACGTCAGGACCCACAGAACCATTGTTTTACAGCTGACATGCTCAGAGTTGTACCCTCATGGCACAGAAATGGTTCCAGAAATAATTCCGTGCAAGCTCAAAAGTTACTCAGAAATTTCTGCAGCACCTAAATGGGGGGAAATGAAAAGTTGTAAGTTGTAGGAGATCTGTGAGAGTGGTGGTGCCCAGAGAAGCTGTCCCATCCCTGGCAGTGTCCAAGGCCAGGTTGGACAGGGCTTGGAGCACCCTGGGATAGTGGAAGGTGTCCCTGCAGATGTCAGGGGGTGGAATGAAATGGGCTCTAAAGGTCCTTCCAGCACAGACTGTTCTGGGAGTCTGTGCTCTCTGAGCTCTGTGGACTGGTGTAAATCCCTGTACACCCTGTTGTAACTCCAGAGTAMTGAAGGGAAGAGATTGAACCTATTTTTTCACTCAGTTCCTGCCATCTTGGCTGGAACTGCTCAGTTSTTCCCTCTKGTTTGGAGCACACAGTTTCCTTCASAASTTGTTTCCTCTGATCAGGTTTGCAAGGTCAGAGGTCTGACTTTGTCCTGCTCTTCCYCAAATGTTGATCTCCTCTTTGCAGACATCCCCAGCCATCTGGATGACCTTCCTCCCACCATGCTGAAGAAGGATTATGCCAATCTCCCCATAATGAACAGGTTTGAACAGGGACAGGGAATGTTTGTGATCCCCWGGGGTTTGTATCTTACATATAACCGTGGTACATGGAAGCTGTCACCTGCTCACTGATTCATTATTAATGCTCTATGGGCACAAAAATTACAAAGTCAGTGTGGAAGTCAAATTTACAGGCCCCCAGATCAGGGCCTGATTGTTCTTGTTGCCCACGTGCTGTGTGGCCTTTGTAGTCCATAGGAAAAAAAAAAGGAAATAATCTTGAAATACAAGAAATAATCATCTTGCAAATAATCTGTGCKTGTGAAGGAAAGTCTTGTTAAACACTTCAACATGAATTCATTTGCTGCTGAATTGGGGTCTGGGGCTCAGCACTGTTGTGCTCTGATGCAGAGCTGCTCGTGTGTGATGCAGGGAGGGCCCCCAGTGGCCCRAGTGTGACTTTCACTGATCTCTGAAGGAACCAGTCTTTAAATTAAATATTTTTGCAGCAAAACTACTCAGTGTTCGTGTAATCAGAGCCATGATTTTGCTTAGGAATGCAAGCACCAGTTTATGGCTGCCAGGTTTGGGAGGGGWGGAGAGTCTCTGTAAATTTGTAGAGTATGTTCTGAGAACCTGAGCTCATTGCTGTTGTTAAATAGACTTGTTTCTGGTTTATAAGCTAATCTGCCATCTCCTTGCAGTGTGGATGATGTAGTGAAAAGGATGTTGTCCCTGGAAATGGCAAGTCAGGTCAGTGTCATTCTGCTTGCTTGAAAAATACAGATTTAATGAGCACCTTCATGTGAGACTATGCTGTTAAATATCTTCCACTGACTGTATTTTTAACTGACTGTAAATCTGGGGTGGTGAAATACATTACAGTGATAAGTCTGGTTTGCTCTTAAAATTTATCACACAGTCTTCTTTATGTAACAATTGCATATTAAAATGAGAGAATAAAGTATTCAGGGATCACAGGGCAATGAGCTGTTCTGTTGCTGCTCTTGGCTGACCCCCTGTGTTCTAGAAACCACTGCACTGGGYAGCAGATGTCCTTCAAGTTATTTTTACTTTCCATATGTCCAGAAAACGAGGTAAATAGGTAATAAAGTGGTACAAAGATCTCTGTGCCAATCCTCTATGCTTGCCACTTCTTCTTAAAAAGATGKAAAAGCACCGAGTGAAGGTCTGAATTACAAAGCCTTTATGTGGGTGTTGGGGAAGRGAGCTGAGTGTCTCCGACCTCTGGTGTTCCTGAGACAGTGACAAACTCTTTTCTGTGACCCACAGAGGGAGAAGATGAAGGTAAAGATACAGCAGCTGGTGGAGAAGGTCAGGAGGTCTCCCAACGACAATGGCTCCTTTGAGGTGCAAGGCAAGTTAAAAAAGGGAAGGATATTGTTGGCAGATGAAACATCTCTGCTTTTATTCAGCTGTTCCCACCCCAGCATTTCCAGTTTGCTGTATAATTCAGCAGAAACTCCTCCAGGAGAGCCCSTGAGAGGCAGGTAGCCTGCAGGATGCCCTGCAGGACTGCTCCAGGTCTGGAAGCATTGCAGAGGCTGCTGTGCTTCCAAATTTGAATTCCAAATTCMTGCTCCACATCTGCCCTCCAAAGGCAGTGTGTGCATTATTCTGCTCGGAGTGCTTCTGTGACATGAAGCACTGAGCTGCAGCTGTTACCAAAATTACCCAAATTTAGCCATGGAACCCTAATTTCCCTTGGCATCAGAGAGCTGTGGCTGAAGCACAGTGGGGACAGTGCAGGGACAAAGGCCATGGTTCACTGACCAACACTGACCACTCCTTTGACATTAGTAAAGCCCTTTAGTTCCTCAGCATGCCATCAGCCCCTCCCTCCAGAGCCCAAAATCCCAAAGACCTGGCTGCTGCCCTTGGAAAAAAAACTCTTTATTGGTGACTGCTCCCCCAGCACTTAAATCCTGTGAGGTGAAATGARTATCAAATCACTGGGAATTGAATGAGTTGAATGAAAAGAGGAATAAATTCAGAYGAATTTGTAGGATTTGTTAATAAAATTTTTCCCTCTAATTAAGCAGCCTCACAACAGTCACGGCACTGCAGGTTGTGTGTTGTGGTTTGTTGTGCTCTGTCCAGTGGGCTGTGG